ATTATTTAAATAGCATTCAATACTCGTGTATACATATGGCCACACATTCGGGTCGTTGTTTCTTCTTGACGTACATCGAGGGTAACGGCGAGAGTCAGGCCCTCGGCTTCAGACTGGAGAGCGCTCTGACAGCAAACGCCATATACCGTGCGGTCACCGAAAAGCATGCATTTTATAGCTGCGAAACTGTTAGGAATACCGTTGCGACACAATTCATAAGAGACTTGAAGGGAACTATCATCTCATTGTTCAACGAAAACACCACTTTAGGCAAGAATTATGTGTTCGACATCAGGAGGACGTGTCGGGAAGTCTACGATCACACCCGACGCGAACTCTACCAATTGGAAGCCATCGCCAAATCTGAAGACACATCTCAGTCAGAAAGCCTTAAATCATTGGACGATCTTTGCCTCGAATTTGAACCCATCGCCAGTCATCCGAGTCTATGCAAGAAATCCGATTGTCAAGTATTAAACTCTTGTGATTATGATTAAAGTGAGAAATTAATCAATTGTTTTGCATATGAAGGATATGAAGGATCGTTTGGAGGCCTTACAAGACTCGATGTTATGTCGGGTGTGTTTTGACAGCGAAGTGTGCACTGCCTTCAATTGCGGACATGTGGTCTGTTGTGAGACATGTGCCCCTCTTTGCGATCGCTGTCCTCTTTGTCGAAGACTTGTTAGTAATGTTCAGAAAATCTATTTGCCTCTGAGTCGGACGGGTTTACAACAAAACACCTAATTGTGAGACCGAGTGTTGATTTTGAATACGAGTTGACATATATTTTTATATATATAACTGTTATATAATATAAAACGAATTTTTGATCTCATTTTCATTTTTCTAACACTTTCTTATCATTTGTTTCATTAAAACCGATCATTGATTCGCTATTTATATATAAATGTATTAATTATTTGAATGAATATATCATTGATATCTCATTATTTAATTTTTTGAATTTTTATTGATTACTAATAAAACAGAAAAACAAATATATTTAAAATTATAATAAAAACAAATGATGTTTAGATAAATATATTCAAATCAAATTATACGAAATGCGTTTTCATATAACATTTAATGACAATTATTATTAAATAATAGACTTAAAACAAATGTTAACACGAATTATATTAAAATTATATATAAATATAAACACTTTGTTTAGAAAACTGCTTAAAAATGTCGAAATATTTTCTCAAAATTAATATCAATATATCATTTGTAAAGATAAATGTAAACCACAATCAAATGCGAGAAATTGTTTGATAAGTTATATCGTTATAACTGTTGTTCCTCTTCTATGGCCACCACTTGTAGTAACTTTTGAAGTGAACCCCGAATAGAGACTAAAAATCATAAAAAGCCAATCATTTGTTACAAAAAAATGCACACAATATTAAAAGTCCTTATTATCTATTATATGAATATATATTTATAATTTATTCTAAGTCTTGTATAATTTGTTCATTAAATTAAAATAAAAGTTTGTTAGAATTGAATTCCAATTCACTTGAATTGATTGAACTACAAATTCAATTACTTGAACTAGAAGTGAAAATTTTTAGAAATACTTACGAAAATCGTTTTTATATTTGTTACTAAAGTTTTGGAGATAATAGAAAGGAATGCCAGCGATTACTGTGCAATGAAAATACAATTTAATGGTTAGACATTTGAAGCAATTGTGAGAGTTTTGTAAAATATTTGAATATTTTCGCATTTTATGAATTTTATTATTCATTCAACAGAAATATTTCACAAACCAATTAATGTTCCGATTAATGCATTTATTGGTTCCGATACGACAGCCATTCCCGTGAGTCCGACACAAGACAGAGTGAATATAATGGACAATATTATTGGAAGTCTGATCGGACGGTACATATCTGGTCGCGTATAACGCAATCTAATACCTGACCGCCGGAAAAGAGTTGAATTTATTAGAGGAATATATTATTGGATACAATGAAAGATGTGATTATAAAGTGTTGTAATAAAATAGAAGTAAGAGTGAGTACCGGCGGCGACAGCCACTCCTGTGACAAACCAATTGGTGAAACTGAAATAATTGATGAGTCTGTATATATCGGACGTGACCAACATTGCCAACGATAATACACATGATAATATCAACGATGGCGTAGGCGTAG